ATTAGCCCCCATTTCTGAAAATAAGTGAAATGAGATTTTACCAATACATAATAACATATTTATTAATTTATTGTTTGCAAGAATATAAAAAATGTATTCTCTAAATAATAAAATTATAAACAAAATGTATCTGCTAAGATATTGTGTTTTACATATCCTTTGTTTTAGAATATATATATATATATATATATATATATATATATATATATATATATATATATATATATATATATATATATATATATATATATATATATATATATATATATATATATATATATATATATATATATATATATATATATATATATATATATATATATATATATATATATATATATATATATATATATATATATATATATATATATATATATATATATATATATATATATATATATATATACACTTATCTCACTCTCGCCACTAAATCCCTATATTAATCCGTGTTCGCCACAGCGGAATGAACCGCCAACTTTTCCAGCAAGTTTTTACGCAGCAAATGCCCTTCCAGCTGCAACCCATCTCTGGGATCATCCACACACACATTCATACACTACAGACAATTTAGCCTACCCGATTCACCTGTACCTCATGTCTCTGGACTGTGGGGGAAACCGGAGCACCCGGAGGAAACCCACGCAAAGGCAGGGAGAACATGCAAACTCCACACAGAAACGCCAACTGAGCCGAGGTTCGAACCAGCTTCCCAGCGACCTTCTTGCTGTGAGGCGACAGCACTACCTACTGTGCCACTGCCTCGCCCCTATATATATATTATATATATATATATAAATATTTATTTTTTATAATCTAGATTAATCTCACTGTAATCTCTGAATTAATCTAGTTTAAAATGGCTCATTTGAATTCTGCCGAAGGCATTCAGAATATGTGTGCTAAATAATAAGTCTTTGAGAATGGGTTTCTCAAGCCAGGTGGCGCATTAGACCACGGGCTCATCTCCTGTTTCCAAAATGCATCATAAACTGCTTGAGAAACTGTTCTATTATGATAATTGGTGAAAAAAATAAATGATGTTCAATAAGATTTACTTGTGTTTACTAACTGTTTATTCAGATAAACATGATTTTTTTTAACTGTAGGTCTACATAAGCTCCAAACAGCGATCAAACTATTACTGTCATGTAGGACTTTTCGCAATACTTTCCAACAAGATCCACACACGCGGCTGTGAGTAAAGGACCGCACACACACAAACACACACACACACACAAACAAACACACACACAAACAAACACACACACAAACAAACACACACACACACAAACACACACACACACACACACACACACACACAAACACACACACACACACATCGTGAAATGCTGAGTTCGTTATTAAATTTCAGAACACTCTCACCAGCCCTTACTCCTTATTTGCGTCTAATAGCCCAGTTTGTCACGGGGGCATCAATGAAACGTTCATGAGTTAAAGTGAAACACGCATTCGCGTTTTCATAACCTAAGGAGGCGTGGCTTTGGACGGAAGGGGAAGGTCGTAAAATTTCTAAGCTATTATGCTAATACTAGGGTTCTGGCAGATCACCTACTGCACCTTTAACTTTGTCGCGTCGCTCAACACGCCCACCTGGTCGCCAACGGTTGCTGTCGCTCGCATAGACAGAGGTCGCTCGAGTCGCTCGCTCTCCGTTGAAATGAATGTAGTGTGAATGAGGCTTAAGGCAACAGTGCTAACCACTGAGCCACCATGGCACCTACAGTGAGCATTTTTATGTTTAATTTATTCTACTTATTCAAATTGTTTCCTATATTTTTTATTAACCTTTAATCAGTTTTATTTTTGTCATTTTTGCTTTACAGTTTAATGCTTTTATTTCAGATTTAGTCATCAGATTTACTATCTCTTTTATTGGAGTTTTTATTTTAATTTATTATAACTTTCAATATTTGCATGTGTATTAATGGTCAAACACACTCACCTGCGCAGTCTGACCAGCAGTCTGGAGGATTTACCAAGCAGCTCTGCAGCCTGTCTGAGACGATCTTCATTCTGAACACATCAAAAACCACACCACATGGATTTCAGAATTTAAAATCACTCCACTGAAAATATTACCTATGTTGGTTTTTCCTCACCTCAAACACAGATGCGGCCTTCTGGTACAAGTCCACGGCTTTCTCTAGATCAATCGGCTCGATGAGTCTGAATAAGCAGATGACACCAGTTAATAATAGCCAAGGTAAGCAAACTCAACACTACAGAGAATGCACAGAAACCACAAAACAAACTCTGAGGAAATGTCTTCATCAGGTTCAGAAATGTTGCATTAAGGGGTAAGATGTGTTACCATACGATTAAACAATTTAATTAAAATAACTAATTTTCTAACATGGTGTAGCATGTATCTAACATTATTTAGCACAACACTGGCTTGTTTTGTATGTATGTAGTAGGATTTAACACTATTCCGTCTTGAATTAGCACATTGCTGGCATGTTGTGCATGTATGTAGTATGATTTAGCACAGTTTCATGAATAAGTACACTGCTAACATGTAGCATGTTGCTGGCATGCTTCTAATTATACATAACACAATGCTAGCATGTTTCTACATGTATATACTGTAGTGATTTCACACACTGTTTCTTATCGAATTAGTAAACTGTTAACCGGATGTAGCTTGTTGCTAGCATTTCTAACCTATGTAGTATGATTTAACACAATTGTTAACATGAATCATGATGCTAGCATGTTTCTAACATGATTTGGCATTACACTAGCATCTTTTAGCATGTATGTAGCAGGATTTAGTACATCTATGCATATTTCTTAAAGTTGTTAACATGTAGCATGTTGCTAGCATGATGATTTAGCATAATTAGGCTTATGATGACCTAAAATGTTGTTGTTGCCATTAATTGCTGAATAGCTTATCATGGTATATGGTATAAAATATTGACGTGAAAGAGCAAAAATTTTACTTCAACAGGTATAGTAACAAGAAATACTTGTTGTCCCTGCTTAGAGGGATTTTGGCCACTTCCAGGCTGGTTTCCAGCCATTTCCAGCCTGGTGTTAGCTAGACAGGCTGGGAGATGACCAGCTAAAACCAGCTTGACCAGCCTAGCCAGCCTGGGAGCCCAGCCAAAACCAGCTATGTCCAGCTTAAACCAGGATGGTCAAGCTGGTTTTAGCTGGTCACTTTCCAGCCTGACCAGCTAAGACCAGGTTGGAAATGGCTGAAAACCAGCCAAAACCCCTCTAAAACCAGGCTGGTTGACCAGCTAAAACCAGCCAACCATCCTAGGCAGGATTAAGCTGGATTTTTCAGCAGGGTTATTGCTTTATTGTTTTCAGAGTAAACAAATATTTGAACTAAATTAAATTGTTAAAGGTTTATGAAGCGCAATAGGTAACACTTTATGATAGAGTCTTATTAGAAAACGTTGCATGAAAATCAGCAGTGAGTAAAGCCTGATTTATTCGTAATCTGATTATGGCTCCAATTTTAACATGCTTTTAGGCATTAACTAAGAATAAAATATCAAATGAGATCAATAAAAGCTTAAGTATTATTATTAATAATAAAAATTATAAAAATAAATAACAATAATAATTCATTTTATTTATAAATGGTGCCTTTCTGGACACCCAAGGTCTCCTTACAACAAACTTCGACAGCAAATACAAACCAAAAACGATTAATAAAAATGTAAAAATTTTCGAATACATGAACAAATACACAAATGCATCTTAAATATAAAATAACATGATAAAAAAATAATCATAAGAAAGCCTGCTTAACAAAAATGGGTCTTAAGATGGGATCTGAAAGCGTGTTACTGCACAGTGTTGATGTACAACAGCCCTGTGAATATTCATAATATCTGCATATTTCTAAGCATAATGCACGCATGTCATTTTCTGCTTATTTTCCCAGTTATGATCAGTCATTATACTCACTTTCCAGCTCTGTCCAGTGCCATTCCAGCAGTGCCAGACGTGCCGTTCTCCACATACATGATGCTGGCCTTCTCTATCAGCTGAATGGCTTCGGGCATTTTCTTCATGTCCTGCAGGGTCAACAAGAGTCACCATCTGACCATATCTAACAATGTTCAAATTGTGTTAGGGTTACAATAATCTAGTGACGTTCTGTGAAAAAGATAAACGCATATTCGGTCAGTAAATCTGGTACAGCAGAAAAAATTAATATGAATATCTATTCCAGCTCTCGTTCATTCATTTTTCTTCAGCTTAGTCTCTGATTTTATCAGAGGTTGCCATAGCGGAATGAACCGCCAACTATTCCAGCATATGTTTTACGCAGCGGATGCCCTTCCAGCCGCAACCCAGTACTGGGAAACACCCATGCACACACACATATAAACACACTCATACACTACGGCCAATTTAGTTCATCCAATTCACCTATAGCGCATGTGTTTGGACTGTCAGGGGCACCCGGAGGAAACCCACACCAAAACGGGGAGAACATGCAAACTCCACACAGAAATGCCAACTGGCCCAGCCGGGACTCGAACCAGCAACCTTCTTGCTGTGAGGCGACAGTGCTAACCACTGAGCCCATGTGCAAAAAACGACTCCGGAGAGAAGCTAATTCTGGAAAATTCTGCCTCAATAAAAAAGAAAAATGCATCTACAGAGCATTCAGAATGATTACTATATGAGCAGCTCACCTTCAGCATCATACCAGCTTGTTCATACGCTCTGACAAGAAGAAAAACACATTTCATTATAGATGGAAATCAGACGAGGAGTTTACACAAACATGGACAGTGATAATGATAGACAGTTAACAATAGAACAGTAGTGTAGTCTGATGTTGAATATTAATTAGGGCTGCACAATATATCGTTTCGGCAATGTGCGAGTCTGCGAAAGTCACATCGCAGGCAACTGCAATGTAGTTGCGATTATAGTTAACCAGACATTATTTAGTGATTAACAATACAATAGTATTTTTTAGATTTTAACCTTAGAGTGAAATTGTATTATTTGCATGAGTTTTCAAGACCTGACTGTAAGAATTTGAAGCAAATTTACATCATTTGGGCACAATAAATTATCCGTTTATAGCCTAAAGATTAATTGTACTTTATATAAATATTTACTTAGTTAAAACGATACAGTGTTATTATTATTAAATGGTATTTTTTCATTTTCAGATCTTTTCTTTGTTGTATTTAACTTTGCTTGTATTTTTATTTTTTTTATTTTATGCAGATATGCTCCCCTAATGAATCATGACAGTCGATCTAAATGATGAATTCTTTACCAGCTCTTTAAGTCATCTGCTGAGTCAGTTTTTTTCAATATCGTGCAGCCCTACTATTACTAACAGATTCATTTAGCATAGTTAATTATGGTTAACTAGTTTGTGAAGTATAACAGTTACTTACTTTGCTGCATGGAAGAGTCTGTGAATTTGAGTTAAGTAAATACAGTACTGAATGAGAGAATGAAAGCAATGCTTAATCAAATACAATCATCATTACTGTTCAACGGTTCAGGGTTGATAAGAGCATTTTAACATTCATTCATTCATTTTCCTTCGGCTTTACTCCCTTTATTCGTCAGGAGTCACCAGAGAGGAATGAACCGCCAACTTATTCAGCATATGTTTTACACAGCGGATGCCCTTCCAGCTGCAATACATTCATACACACATACACTCATACACTACGGACAATTTAGTTTATTTAATTCACCTGTACCGCATGCCTTAGGACTGTGGATGAAACCGGAGCACCCGGAAGAAACCCACACCAACACAGGGAGAACAAGCAAACTCCACATTGAAACGCCAACTGACCCGGCCGGGGCTCAAACCAGCGACCTTCTTGCTGTGAGGCGACTGTGCTAACCACTGAGCTACCGTGTCGCCCCAACATTTTCTTTTTGGCTTAGTCCCTTGATTAATCTGGGGTCGCCACAGCGGAATGAACCGCCAACTTATCCAGCACGTTTTACGCAGCGGATGCCCTTCCAGCTGCAACCCATCTCTGGGAAACATCCACACACACTCATTCACACTGTGGAAATATACATTTCTATCAACTAATTCCAAATGAACAATAATCTACGTATAACTGAAAAGTTATATTCTTTGGTTTTTAATTATATAATTTCATTAACATCCCAGCTAGGAGGGACATTTAACCTTCATCTCTCTGACTACAGGCTAAGCCAGTGATGCAAATGCTTTAAACGACTCTGTCTTTGTCTTCGGGTGTTGCTTTTATGCTACAGAAACCCTATGTTGATTAATTTGTGTGGTCAGTAGCTGGGCTGTTTTTTAACACCTATGCCATGCTGACTCCAACTCTTAATTTGCATGCTTTGTTTAGCCATATCCCCTCCTCCTAAGAACACAATATAGACATGAAATCTTTGTCTTAATTCAGACTTATGTGAGACTTGTGTGAGACTTGTGACAGACTTGTGAAAGAACTTGCAGACTGCGGACCTCTAGTAGGCTCTTGCAGACACATGGACATCTTAAAGACGCTGTATGACTGCAGATTAACCAACACGTCTCAATAAAGGAATTCTGCTTGTTTCGAGTCTCCTGGACTGGGTTCTCTCTTCTTTTCACTCATTTATTTATTTTTTTACAACAACACTCATACACTACGAACAATTTAGCCTACCCAATTCACCTGTACCGCATGTGTTTGGACTGTGGGGGAAACCGGAGCACCCGGAGGAAACCCACACAAACGCTGGAAGAACATGCAAACTCCACACAGAAATTCCAACTGACCCAGCTGAGGCTTGAACCAGCGACATTCTTGCTGTGAGGCGACAGCACTACCTACTTCGCCACCACATCGCCATCAATAAAAATGTAGTAACATGTTAAAATATAATTTGAATTTAAAATAGCTGTATTTTACTTGAATATAGTTTACACAGGTTTTTCCAGTGCTGCAAAGCTGAATTTACTCCAGCCTTTAATGTCAAAAGATCTTTCAGAAATCATTCTGATATGCTGATTTGATGATCAAAAACAGATGTGCTGCTTCATATTTTTGTGGAATTTGAATAGAGACCTGAAAACACATTTACTTCAAATATAAATGTGACCTCGGACTATAAAACCAATCTTAAATTGTGTACTCAGGTATTCATTCATTCATTTTCTTGTCCCTTTATTAATCCGGGGTCGCCACAGCGGAATGAACCGCCAACTTATCCAGCAAGTTTTTACGCAGCGGATGCCCTTCCAGCAGCAACCCATCTCTGGGAAACATCCACACTCACATTCACACCCACACTCATACACTACGGTCAATTTAGCCTACCCAAATCACCTGTACCGCATGTGTTTGGACTGTGGGGGAAACCGGAGCACCCGGAGGAAACCCACACAAATGCAGGGAGAACATGCAAACTCCACACAGAAACGCCAACTGACCCAGCACTACCTACTGCGCCACTGCATCGCCACAAACATGCATATATGGCATATTTCTTTATAAATTGTCTCCAATCATTTTTAATTAATTGACACAAAACTGCATAGCATAATATATGTTTGATGGACTAACTTAATGGTTTATTCTTTCGTTTACACTAGTAACTAGTAGCTGATAATGAAGAGCAGAAAAAGGATACGCTTTGTTTTCAGTGTGATACTCGGCCTCCTTCAAGTACGCATCCTTCGCTTGTTCAAACTGTTTTGCGTTTTTGAAAGCCACAGCTGATATAACACCAGAAGAAAAAGTATTGTTATAAAGTAACACCGGTCATATAATGTCAGATAAAGCACAACTTGCTTAATAAATCAAAGATATCAATGCCAGATGTGAGTTAGTTTTCCATCTTCACCTGCTTTGGCCATCTCTGAAGCGGCTCCGTCGTAATCGGGTTTCCACTTGGTCATGCTGGTCTTCAAGCTGAATGCAAAACAAAATGTATAGTATTGTGACGCAGTTCCAAGAGAAGCGCAATATTAAATGAGAAAACAGTGGGTGTGGCTTGTTTTTTCTACTGCGAGCTGATTGGGTGCAGTAAAGTATGCCTTTTTATTCGAAAAGATCTGGAAAAGTGTTTGGGGAGAGTTATTACAACCTTACAGACTCCTGCTGCTCCTCACCATTTCTGTTTGTTGTCAAAACTAACAGCTGGAGGGGCGTGGTTAAGTATGTTAGCAACAGCCAATACCTCAGACAGACCTGGGGTCCGTTCTTCGTACCTCGCTTAAATGATCTAAGATGATTTGGCAGATCCTGGATCTTTTAATCTTGATAACTGATCTCTCGCTAATTTGGTGCTTCAAACAAGTTCGCGAATCAGATTAGAATGTCTGGATAAACTGATCTGAGATCGCTGCGTGTGTTGTGAAGGACAGATCTATCGATCCTCGAAATCATGATCAGCAATGCAACGATTGGCTGACGGCACAGCAGCGTAATGACATCATCTGATTAATATTCAATTATCCATGTGAGCAAAATAACATCAAATTAGCAGTAAACCGTTTAATATGACACGCAATAACCTTCCACATTTGTTGTGAGCTGCAGGCTTTACACTTTCATGTGTCAAGAGTATTCATCATGTATTTCAATGCAAATCAGTGTATTTAGTTCTACATTTAGAAAAGATTTTCTTTATTATAGTAGCCGTTTTTTAATCGATGTAAAGAATAACTGGATGTTTACAAAAGCATTTTGATATTGGTAAAGGCGTCTGCAACTTTTGTGAAGCATCAAATCACTGAAATATTAACCATCAAAACATGTTTATGACTGCATAAATGTATTATTGCTTTTAAAAAAAGTCACATATTGTGCATTTCTATAGACCAATTACCAACCTACGTCACACATGACGTCACAAGGGTCCCGGGTTGCAAAAAACAGACAGGCTACAATGGGGAAGATGTCGTGTTTTGCGGTAGGATGCCAAATTAGAGTCCAAAAATAGAAAACTTAACTTTTACCATACACCACACACTGCTTTAATACCAACTGCAGACGTATTTGGCTAAATGGGAGCTGAATGAAGTGAGGAGCTCATTAGAAATGCTGGACTCTGCAGTTCTCATGTCATATCAGGTCAGTTAACGCTTTGCTGAATCAGACACATCACTCGTTTTTGATTGCAGAAATGATTTCAGCAAAAACAGTTACATATGGTTAATTAAACTGCTGACACTGAATGCTAAGAATGAAACGTGAAAGTTACGTTGTGTATTAAGGTAAACTTAGTTTTATGTTCACACATTCATTCAGTGACAACTTGTGACAAACTCCCTATATTGTTTACCACGGCACTTTGAATATTAGGTCTGAAATAACCTGCAAGTGTGACTTAAAAAACAACATTTACACTGTTTATTTGACTGTGAACAATGTTGTACTTTAATAGTCATTGGCTGCTGCTAATATGATTTCGCTATTTAGAGTTTGCAAATAATATTTTTATAAATTTAACGTATAATATTAAGGAGAAAGTCTGAATGTGCGAATATAAAACCAACTTTACCTCTATGTGTAAGTTCACATACTGCCGTACAGGTGAAGTTCACTGTCAGAATGCAGTCGTTTTGCGTGTTGGTAAGGGCCTTATATAACGTTAGCTCCGTCTTGTTTCCTTGTCTTTGGCTAGGCGGAATCTCGGTGTTTAGCTCTTGAATCTGGTCATCATGGAGCAGTATTTATTGCACATGACCTCAAAGAACAACATTGTTGGCATCCAAAGACTTGTAGGTCTTTAACTTCTTTCTTGTAAAATCACTCGGAGCTTCATTGAGATTGTATATTTGGGGCTGGATGCTCGGTCACTTCGTCTTATCCAATATCCATTGGGAGGGTGCTGTCAGATGAACGCTGCTCGCTTTAACATTAATTTTGCTGAATCACTGTGCTTGTCGCTGGGTGACGAGCTGTTATAATATGCTAAGAGCATTATGTAAATAATATATATAATATGTAAGTAATTCATCTTATTTATAAGACAACAACAAACTCTGCACCGCATCTGATGTCATTCCCTTGCTGTAAATGCTAGCGCTCCTGGTTGCTTTCTGCCACCTCCCTGCGCGCGCATCCTGAATGTTTACAAACATGGTAATTGGTCTATTGTCACACACAATTTGTACTAAAGCAATCTAAAACGTTAATTTAAGTAAGTATTCTCTTTCCACCACTAGGTGGCAGTCTTTGTACTTTAATTTCGAGGGTGCAGATTGCATAAATTTTATTAATATGTATAACTTTATTTATTTTATCAATAACTATAACTTTATATATATAGTTAAAAAATATTTACTATTTTCCCAAGTGTATATAACTACTATTGCAAGAAAATATCAGATATAAGTGTGAAAGAAAAAGACTGATGCAGTGTACTGATGCTGTGACACTTTACCTGATAGATTCAAAAGACCGAAGAGTCGTTAGATAGAGACAAGAATAATTAAATATCACGTTTAACAACTATAGTGAGATGCCATCCAGTGGTACATCCTTGATAAACGGTCCGACGTGCACTGCTCTCTGGAGCTCAGCACAGACGAGCGCATGACAGTGTTTGTTGCTGTGTGTGGATGTGTGGTCACGTGATGTGCGTTTTCAGTGGACTGTTCAGAAATGCTAGGTAAAACATGGTGTGGATGTGGATAATTTTCGTTCTAAAATGCCATTTTAATACTAAGAAGTATTAGTGTAAACAACGTCTGGATGTGTATTTTTCGCAAGCGGCCCAGCATTGTGTTGTCTATTGTCCATCGGCGATGGCCGATGGCATCGTCTATCGGCCCAAACCTAAATACAATACAAACATGCATATATAGCATATTTCTTTTTAAATTGTATCCAATAATTTAACATGAACTGACATGAAACTGCATAATATATGTTTGATGGAAAAACTTAATGGTTTATTATTTCGTTTACACTAAAGTAACTAGTAGCTGATAATAAAGAGCAGAAGATTTCAGTAAGTATTATCTTTGCACCACCAAGTGTCAGTCTTTGTACTTTCATTTCGAGGGTGCAGATTGCATAAGTTTTATTAATATGTATAACTTAATTTATTTTATTAATAACTTTAACTTTATATATAGTTAAAAAATATTTACTATTTTCCCAAGTGTATATAACTACTACTGTAAGAAAATATCAGAATTCAGAACATACTTTCTCTATTATCTTTGCTTGAACTGAGCCGATCTAATCCTGTTTAAATGAATTGAACCTGCTCCCGATCAGGTTTGAGCTAGCAGAACTGTTGCTATGACAACAACTCTCGGATCAGCTTTGAAGAAAGAAACGATCCTGGATCAATATCCAAATCCAGCTAACTGAGTAATCCACGTACGAAGAACGGACCCCTAATCTGAGAGTTTAACTGAAAACGAACAGGAAGTGCGTTTCCAGATTTTAATTTTATATAACAAGGACAAACCTTTTTTGTCATAATGGCATGCACAGATGAATTTTTCACCACACAACTATCAACTTGAGCTATCAAAATCTCTTTAAATCATCATATGAGCCATATCTATGTTACTTTCATCCCCACTCGCCCCTTTCTACACATGGGCACATGAACATCTCTGACCCACATCATCATCACTGAAACCAAAGTTGGTCTTATATGGGCACATTTCATCCTTCTTACAGCTTTTCCCAATTGTTTACACACATTTTCTGAAAGCATGTCTCATATTGTCAGAACTCTACATACAAATCAAAACACACACATTGGGCAAAACTCTTCAATCATGATGCGAATTAAAAATACATTTTGTAGACAGTTAAAGGAGACGCGAATGCACATAAATTGGGGAAGTCTAATCACCAAAACAAGTGAGTATATAGGCAATTATTGATCCTCATAAAGGGTAATACCCAAACAGCTCGTGGAAAAAAGTAGGCATGCTGAGTATACGTGCATATAGCAAGGACTACACCACTGCTCATAATGATAATGAAGATCAGCATCACTTCACTGCTGTCTGTCGACAAAATATCCTCCAGCGCGCGCATTTACGTAACCCATCTCTCTGTGTGACATTATAATGATGAAGAGTCATTCAGCATCACATAATTAACTGTGCATTTTATTTAATACATTAAAATCCAAACACATCCTGCAGTAGTAGCTACAGTGATTTGACAGCGACGGCAGGCCTATCGGAACCCGGTGTTTATTATGTGTGAGTGTCTTATTATCATCTGAGTGTTTTCGTAAAGCTCACCATTTCTCTGCTTTGGTGATGTGGTCGTGCGCCTCGTTGATCTTCTGGGCCGCCATGGCTCTCGGTTTTGCGGGTAAATAAACAAATAAATACACATACACCGAGCCGGAGGAGGAGGATGATGGAGCGAGCGTTACGTAGATTATCCTGATTTTCTTCAGCTCATCCACGTCACGCTGTTTTTCTACGGGAGCCCGAGTGGGATGCTGCAATGCATAGGCTGCAATGCACCACTCAACACCAACACCTGCGATTCGTATTTGCCATGATTTTATTCATTTATCAATTTAGGTATTGAATTTATTAATAATAATTATTATTATGCAATTATTTAGGCCTATTCTTCTTGTTTATAAGTATTGTGTATTAAAATAGCTTAAAAGTATTAATATTATTATGTATTTATGTATTATTATTGCTTAGAAATATGATGACGATGATGATGATGATGATGATTATTATTATTATTATTAGTAGTAGTAGTAGTAGTAGTAGTAGTAGTAGTAGTAGTAGTAGTATCATTATTATTATTTGTTATTATATTAGTTTATAATTGTTGTTATAGATGTAGCATAACCTATTTTTATGTTTGCAAAATATGGAATAAAACTAATATATATATATATATATATATATATATATATATATATATATATGTGTGTGTGTGTGTGTGTGTGTGTGTGTGTGTATATATATATATATATATATATATATATATATATATATATATAT